TGAAAACACTTATTTCTTTTGATTTAAGGTATATGATGAATCAATAAAAAAAGAGAGCATTATACTTACAATCTAAAAGTTTTTCAACCTCTTACAACTTATTTTTTCACTGTTGATTTTTGTCAATCTAACGGTTATGATTTATCGGGTCACATTTATTATTAATTATTAATTTTCAATAAATTATAACCGTTGAATTGACGAAAATCAACAATAAAAAAATAGGTTATAAAACTTTTAGGTAGTAAGAATAACGCTCCTGGTACAAATCACTATTTGAGGATCACAGTATCTTTTGCGAGAGTTAGTTACAAATGGTGGCATATCATTACTTGACAGAACTTTCAAGGGTGTTGTAGGGATCAGTACAATTTAATGAATAAATGGAGGTAACTCATGATAATTGGATTGCTGTTAACTGAGCATAGTGAGTTCAGACAGCTGTAGTATAATGGACGCTATAAATTTCATATTTCTTTTACGAAACTTGTTGAATTTGAAAGATAAGGTCCTCATCTAGTGTGCATTAAAATTTCAAAAAATTTGGTGTAATTGATGTCTAATCGTCCATCATTGAATTTTAGAAGAAATTATAGTTATTTCATTCACGTTTTTGGTTTTAGGCAGTATATTTCAAAAATTCATAAGTTGGTCCATAGACCTCCAAAATGAGTGATTCCAAAGCTTCCTCAAAGCTTTGCCTCTCTAGTTTCTGCCTAGAAATTTTTAGAATAATTGGAGCACACAAGAGTTATTACGATAGACAAGAGCCCACTGTTTAACTACTATTCTTTGACAGCAAAAATTAAGAGGGTTACAACTAGAACCATTGATAGAACCGTAGGCACCCACATGGGTACTCCTCTCTCATGTTTATACTTTATTTTAATTAATCCATACTGAACGGGACTTTAGAAATTATACTAAAGGGTTTAGTTTGTGTCATTTAAAAGGACACAAGTTGTGTCATATTAGTGACTTACACAGTCATACTCTGTGTAAGTCTGAAAAGTTACTTTTTTTCACTTTACACGTAAGATGTGGCTGAAGAGAGAGAAAAAAAATCAACTTTTCAGATTCACACAAAGTCATATTTTGTGTAAATCATCTAAAAGGACACAACTTGTGTCCTTTTAAATGATACTTCTTTTTCCCTATATTAAAAGGAACAAAAGCAGAAAGGTGTGAATTACATACATTTAGGGCATGTTTGGTGTGACGTATAAGGCCTGATAGTATAAGTTTATACTATACGCTATGACATTTTCGGTTGTTTGGTGTGACCATCGTATAGTATAAGCTTATACAGCAGGATCCCTTAATACATCAAAACGATGTATAACGTAATCCGGCCTAAGGGGGAGGGATAAGGCCTGATAAGAGGTTGGTGTGTTAACATCGTTGACCAGTGTAATTATCAAAAATTAATAAATTACTTTAATATTAATATATTAAAATAAAAATTAATTTTTCAATTTATTAATTTTTAAAATATTGAATATTTTTATTTTTATAAAGATTAATTTATGTTTTTGACACACTGATCAGTAAATTTTTATAAAAATTAATATCATATGACATTTTTTTTTGAAGAATTATATAAATTCTTTATTAAAGGATATTTTTATTAAAAATATTTATTTTTATTCTATATAGTATTATACAGTGCATTATCAAATACTAGATGATATTATCTTATATAATATATTACTTTATACAATACCGTGTCAAATACTGGATAGTGTTAAAATTCAATCAGGTCTTATACAATCAAGCCTTATACTATCAGGTCTTATCCTATACTATGCATCAAACATGCCCTTAAGGTTTCCAAATGCAAGTGATTTGCACTGCCTATTTTTTTATTTATTGAACTGTGAATGCTTTTATCCTCAAATTGGAGACTCGAATACATTTAATTGGGCAAACCTCGGGTGAATACTAACCTTTGATATCAATTTGGGGGTTGTTATATTGATTGTCAATGATTCTTGAAAATGTGGACTAATTTTACAAAATTAATCTTTGATGAATTTTTGAAAAAAAATTCTTTTTCTTTTTTAAAAATATTGAAAATAATTTCTGATATGGCATAAAACGATCAAATTTTTTTGATACATCAAGTCATATAGTTGCAGATTATTATATCAATTTCGGTAATTTTCTGAGATGCAAAATCATATGTTAAACAACTAAGCGTAAATTTTTTTTTTTTTGTAAATACTAAGCGTAAAATTTTTGGCTCAATAGTTTTTGCAAATTAAGGCATCCTTAATATTCTTTTATATAATATATGCTCTGATCTATTAATCCATTTAAACCATCAATCTTCAAGGCGAATTAGAAAAAATAACTAAACTAATTTTCTTTTATTATTTAAAATTATTTAAATAATTATTTTATTTTATTTTGTTAAAAATTAATAATACTGGCCTATTATTATTATTTTTAGAAATATTTCAATTGATTTATCATTTCGCCACTAATCTGATTCGGGACGGGTTCAGGATTAAGGCTTTAAACCCCTTCTAAAGGTGGTCTAGCCTATTATTTTTACAGGTTTTTTTTAGACCTGATTTTGTGTTACTTTACTAGACAAATTAGGCTAGTTCTGTCCAACCTTATAAACCATATATATGTAGAGCATTGGTCTAGTTTATTGGCTAAATGCAAAACTAAGACATCCTTAACTATTTTTTTTATAAAAGAATCTGGCCAATCATATTAGCTATTTAATTAAACCAGCATATCCTTTTATCCCCTCGTTTCTCGCTATGATTGAAAATGCACAGCAAGTGTGCGATGTGTTTGTACAAGACACTTCTCTTCTAATCTAGCGTACTATTATTTGGCTTCCTCCTCCGAAAGAATTTATTAAATTAAATACAGATTGTGCTTCTAAGGGCAATCTAGGGGTTGCTTCTTGTGGTGGGGAGCTGCGAGACTCAAGTTGCAACCGGAGATAAATTTTCTTACAGAATTGGTACTTGTTTAGTGTCGAATGCAGAACCGCGAGGTGTTCTGAAAGGGGTCCAGCTAGCTTGGAGTAAAGGTGTCAGGAAACTAATTATCGAAAGCGACTTAAGTTTGACTTAAGCTCTCTTGTCACATTGCTCATAAGGCATGGTAAGAAAGCTCGTGAGTCATATTTGGTGACTTGAATTCGAGCATTGGTCAATCGTAACTACCAAGTCCACTTTATTCATACACTGAGGGAGGCCAATTACTGCGCCAATTACTTGGCAAACCTCCTGCTAGACCGCCAAGATATGGATGATGATCATGTCTTCTCAGAACGTCCTCCTGAATTACTTTTGCTTTTGCTTGCGAACTCCTCAGTCACTCCTCGAATTAAGGATGTCGGGTGATTCTTTTCTTTCTGTTGTCTGCTTCTTTGCTTTTCTTTATGTATCAAAAACAAAAATTTAACCTATTAAATTTTCGAGCATACTGAGAATGAGGTGAAGAAAAAATTATACTAATATTATTTTATTATTTGAAATTAATTTATAATAATTTTAATTTATTTTATTTAAAATAATTAATATAATATAAGTTGGTCTGAGTATTTTCTTTAATCTAAATCTTTATTATTTTACTAAATATAAGAATGATCTATTTACACATTTATTATTACACTTTTTTCTCATAAAAAAACTTATTAGACTTTTTCGCTATTGTTTATACTTTTATTTTTTTGCAGATTCACGTTCATTTCCACTTTGATTTTTCCACCCAAAAGAAATTTTATATTATATATAAATAGATAATCATATTTTTTTTATTGATTCATCATATACCTTAAATCAAAAGAAATAAGAGTTTTCAAAATCAAATTTTGATCAAGATAAATGAATAAGTGCTTATTTGATGTGTCTAAGTGCCTGTTTGGATCCTCTTATTTTTAAGCTAGACGCTACTTATAAGCATAAGCTAGGCCAAACAGGTTTTGGAAAAAGCTCTTATAATGAAAAGCTCTTTATTTTATAATGAAGAAAAAAGCTGAAAATTAAAAGCTCCTAGGAGGAGCTTTTTTTTAAGCTCTGATCTGTTTTTCTTGAATTATGTGCTTTTTTTAAAAATGAAGAGTGATAAAAATAGAGAGAGAAATAATTTTCTTGAAATATGTGCTTTTAACTAATTTTTAAGCTAAATTTTTTATGTAATTTCCAAACAGTTTTTAGCTTCTTTTTTTAAGCTCTTTTTTTTAGCTTTAGCTTATAAGTAGCTTCTAGCTTAAAAATAAGAGGATCCAAACAGGCTCTAATTTTTAACTTTACTTCTTCTTAAAAACACAAGCTTAACCAAATATAATTTTATGAAAGTTTTTATTATAAAAAGAGTTTTTTATATAACGAAGGAAAAAAATTAAAAACTGCCCAGAAACTTTTTTCAAGATGTATATCAGCTTTTTGGATTCTCATACTTATTTTATAATTTTATCCTTATTTTAAACTTGTATTTATAAATTTTGTCTTTTAAACTAATGATTTGTTCTAATGACAAATTATTTCATCTGCTCTCTTTAAAACCCTAAGAATAACTTTTATATAATTATCAAATTGCTTTTAATTTTTTTTTAAGTTTTTTATTTTATTTTAACAAAATAATTTTTAACTTTAAAAAATGCGTCAAACATACTCTAAATGAAAAAAAAAAAAAAAAAAATTTAGCAATCTCTATATTTTCCACGAGGCAAAGAGGGTGCAATCTCTGAACAAGCCATAATATTACAGTGTTACAATGCTCAAATGGAACTGAGAAGTTATATTTCTCCTCAACTTTAGGCATTACTTATTTTGTGACCCACAAGCCAAATACGTGACCATCAAAGCCACATTTCTGAGTGATTTATTACCAATTTAAACACAAACTCTTTAACTTAAAATATTGTGCTTTGAACATAAATTACTGTGCTCTGTAATTATCCACCCAAATAACCTGAGAGCACAAATATTAAGGTCAGCATGCAATGCAGAAATTGATATGCTTAGTTATGCTTATGGGATGGGATGTATGACTACTTTTCCAATGGCTCTATTAGTCTTAAGGTATGCATATGCTTCCACAGTTTGAGAAAACGGAAAGGGGCTCTTGGGGTCCAACACTGGCTTCACCTTGCCACTCTCTAAGTAAGGTTGTAGTTTCTCCAACACAGCCCCATCTGCAGTGAGAAAAAACTGAATAGCTGGTGGAGTTGCAGGTCCTACTATGGTCACAACTTTGCCCCCTTCTTTAATAGCCTTCAATGCCTTGTCACTCTGTCCTGTTTTTGGAATCAACATTGTTTTAGTTTTCAATTATATCTATACAAGACAACTTCATAGAAGGACATAAAAAATAAATATTGGTTAAATTTAAATATCTTACCTACTGTATCATACACAACATCAAACTTTTCTGACAATTCTTCAAAATTATCTTTTGTATAATCAATAGGCAAGTCTGCTCCCAAGCTCCTCAACAATTCAAGTTTTGGAGTACTAGCAGTAGCTGCAACCTTAGATGCTCCAAAAACATGTTTGGCCAGCTACATCATCAAACATATACACAACAAATCATTTGGTTTCAGTTAGAGGATAAAATATCTTATTGTATTTAATCATGCTACAAATTATACATCACCAAACCTGAATAACAAGGGTTCCAACTCCTCCAGAACCTCCAAGAACAAGTATAGATTTGCCAGCAGAAAACCCAACTCTTTCAAGTCCTAGATAAGCAGTAAGGATCACTACAGGAAGGCTAGCAGCTTCAACAAAGCTCAAATTGGAGGGTTTATGAGCCAATACTTTCTCTTCAGCAGTAGTATATTCTGCCAAAGAACCAATGGTTTTTGGATGGTTCACAGCAAGTTCATTGATATCACCATAAACTTCATCACCAATCTTAAATTTCCTCACTTTACTTCCCACTCTTACCACCACACCAGCAACATCATTCCCCGGAGCAGTCTTTCCAACACCAAACACAAAAATAAACAATGCAAGATTTATAAACAAAAACAAAAACAAAAACAAAAAAAATTATGTTAGACTATAAAAAATGGAAATTTTGCTTATAAAGCCAAACATAATTTATAAAATCTTACGGGTAAAGGAGAGTCAGTGTCCTTAAAATACCCAAGAGCCCTCAAATTATCTACAGGATTAAGGGCAGCAGCCACAACCTTTATAAGCACTTGGTCTTCCTTGATATCTGGTATAGCTACATTAGGATCAAATTTGAGAATCTCTTCTATATTCCCATATTCAGTGTAGACCCAAGCTTTTACGTGAGAACCAAATGATGGTAGTTCAGTTGGAGTTAGAGAACTGAACAAGTGGGGGTGTGAATATGTGTTCAATCTATTCCAGTACCGTCTTTGGGAGTGGTTTAAAGCCTTAATCCTGGAACTCGTTCCGAATCGGACTAATCGCGAAGCAATGAACCGATTGGAATATCCCCGGAAAAAACCTTTTATGTGAGATGCCATGATCTGACTTCAAGGAAAAGAGTCAGAGAATGTGAAAATTCCCAGGTTGTAGTTGAACTCACTATTGATGCAACACCAAGTACCAATTTATAAAGAGGGAATAGTTAAATTAATCTAAAAAAATATACATTAATTACGTAGTTCATATTAAATTGTAAAAGGTGAAAATCATTATATAAAATTTCAAAAACATATATGCTATTGATTGAATTAGTCCGTGTTAGAATCTAATTTGACCTATAATGTATGTGCAGTTTTGACTTTTGATGCATCATATTCTTTACAATTTTGAATAAAAAAAATTAATTAAGATTTTCATCATTGATTTCATTTTATATAAGTAATAAAATATTTTTATGAATTTAAATCCCATCACACAATGCACACCATTGAAATCTGGATATATATATACTATGATCACTATTCCGGCTAGGTTCATGATGTTATGTCCCAACTGCAAATATCTAAAATATTACCGTCGCACCCAACCCTTTATACATCCCCTCAATAAAAATTCAACACCAACATGTCAAGGAAGATGAAACAGAAATAAAAAAAAATTGTCGCTAGTGACTATCTTATTAAATACAAGTGTCGAGTTTGGAATAGCAGTAGTACTCACTATTGGATGCAACCGTGGTACTAAATATGCGCTCGTTCCAACTCTAGCTTGATCAGTACTATTCCTCTTATTTTAACAAAAGGAATCCGTTCAAAGAAATCATCTGCATGTGTATGTTCATTTTGGCCTAAGAATCCATTCAAAAGAGACTGCATTGCAATTTGCACCCGAAATCCGAAGTTTTTTTTTAATCACGCACGCATATCCATATAGTTAACCAGCCCAAAAAATATATCCATAACGTTAACTAGTTTCGGCTAAGTGTGGAAGAAATATTTTTTCAATGTAAAAATTCATTACTCTGAGAACACTTTTTTTTTTTCTTCCAAGTATCCTCTAGCCGATAGAGGAAGATTAATTCTTTCGAAGCGGGATATCACATTAAGTGAGTATATCTCTTCCAATAAAATCTTTTTTATACACACGATCAGAGATCGAATTTCTGTCAACATGTTTAAAGAATTCAACAATCTAGAAACTGTGCTCGGCTTTATTGGTTGCTAAATACTTGTTTAACATTACTTTTTTAAAATACTAAACATAGCAGCCAGACAAAAAGGATATCTTAATCTTTGAGTACCTTTCATGTTACCCACTAGAACTTGATTATATTATTATTATATTGTAAAAAAACTAATGGTGGTCCTGTTCAGTATTTTCCTTTGTAAGGTTTATTGTTTGTTGCACTACTACGCATGCAATTGTACATTAAAAAACTAATGGAGAACTTGTATGTATATTTTTTATGTTTTAACTTTAAGCGCTTTGATTTTCTTATATTGTATGAGAATTGTTTTATCATGTTATGACTCAACTAGTGGTGAGCCTCACATTTATTAAAAAAGAAAGAAATTTTTTTTCACTAAAATCGAAAGATCATATGAGAAAACACTTCTCATGCATACACCAAAAGTGGGTGAGACTTATATTATTATTTTTTATTTCTTTCTCTTCTCCTTAGTGGATCTTATCCACTTTTTTAATATTTTCTTAATTGTGTCCCTCTTTTATCAAAGTTTTTAAGTCCATTTCAGTAACACCCTGTGTCGACCCGATTTTTTATCATCACATATGATATTAGGCGCAGTTACAATCGCAGTAATTAATTAAAATTACTGATAATTTTTTTTTACTTCTATTCTATTTACTGCTAATAATTATTTTCGCATTCAATTAATTCAATTACAATAATTATAACCTGTACAATATTCAAAAGCATTAATTATTTTGATTTACCTTTCCCTTATTAGGCAATACCACAAACCAAGAGTGTAAACAAACTCCAAAACCATTCCCCATGTAGCCCCCATCGACTAACATAATGAAGGACACTCTCTGTTGTTTATTCATTAATGAACCGCCCTTACATTCCAAAAATTGGGACTGCCAACCTTCACCATAAATTCCCTTATTTCACTATGTTAAAGTAGACCTCTCAAACTTTTCAATGGCATATTACACGGCTCAAACAATATATATAACTCAAGATAGGTTCGCCGTAAGCCAACTACTTAAAACTGAACTATAGTGAAACAGTGTAGCGAACATAAACAGAAACTGGGAGAGTTCCACGGCCTATTTTATTCTCAAATTTTTATACAAAAAACTAGACATCTGGGGATTTAATTTGACATAATTTTCGTCTCGTTTGGTTAAGGAATGAATAAGGTATGAATTTTACAAACTCCAAAAAGTGTGTTGTCAAAACAGGACAGTTTCAGACAATGTTCATTTTTACCGATTCTAGGAACGATATGGCACCCAGAAAATCCCATCTTTTAGGACAAGAAACTAGATACCCTAAGCTTTAATTTGATACCTCACACACTTCATTTGGTTAAAAAATGAGTGAGATATGTCCTTTCAAAATTTGTACTCATAAGTATACAAAATTTTGACAGCACTTCTTTGCTTTAATGTCTTAACATTTTCCTACTGAATTGATAATTTGATAATACGAACATACATTTATCTTGTCAAGTCAAAGCTTAATCCATTTATTCATCTGTGAACTAACTTCAACTACACCAGTCATGCATTTTAAATATACAAATTGTATCTCTAACTACAAATCAAATATACAACATAACGTCAAGTAAAATAAATGCATACGTCAGATGTGATACCCTATACATGCTCTTTAAACATACAATATAGGCATATCCAAAAGGCATAGACATTTCCTATGCTCTCAAAATGCATAAACCATAAAATAGCAACAATAGCAGCATACAGTAAAAGACAATCTACAGTGATCTCCTGACAATAGATGCTCATGCACCATCAGTACCTGAAAGCGGCCCCGAAAGGTGGAGTGAGATATACATATATATCTCAGTAAACTAAGGGTCCTTGGAGAATCTCTCTTCCCCAAAGCTCACTTCAGGCAACAAGCAATAAATAACATAATCATGAATGTATGCATGTCAAGTGTGCAAATAGCTGTCTAATATTCCTGTTAGTGCCTCACACCGTCCTCGAAATACACACAATAGTGTCCTAGCAATCCCTTATAGTAAACATACCATCAACAAGATGCTCTAGACAAATAATCCTGAGGCCAAAGAACAATGTATGATTTACACAACCGAGCAATATATTGTAGGAATTACGCAAACTATCAAACTACTGTGGGAATTACGTAATCAATCAACTCACCCGTATAAGAATCCCTCTTATATCACACCACAAACATCACACATCATGCATTATATTCGATTTATTGTATTCCATATATAAAACCAAAACCCACCACCAGGCTTGATGGAACAATAAAGAGATCAATTCCCAATGTTCGAAAGCTTGGCTCTAAAGCTTCCAATATATAACTTGCTACAAGCACAAGTTACCTTCACACACTTGAAAGTGCACTTGAAATGGTCCACACAACCACTTGTTATGCCCAACACCTAATTAAAGGTGAGGAACACCATCAATATCACTTACAAATACACATTGCAAGCTACTAACACACAACATCAATGTCACAATTGATAACTTACCTATTATGGAATCACTCAAGATTCAATGCCAAGCTCCATTGACTTATCTCATGATTGGTTTCTCGTCACTTGCTCACTTGATTCAACCCTAAATACAAATGAAAACAATCTCCATCAACAATAATTCAATGTATCTATTACTTGCAACACAAGTAAGCACACTTTTATGTCAAAAATCTAAAAATTCTGAAGGTTGTCAAAATGATATTTTGAACATATTTCCACCGATTATTTTCAATCTTTATCATTCTTTCCAACTACAACAAGTTCAAATCACACTTGAACGCCACTATTAATGCTTCACAACTTCAATGAAAACCTAAATAAGAAACTTCATGAAACAAGATGAAAATAAAAGTTTTCTTACCACAAAAGTCTTCAAAATGGCCATAAAAATGAATTTCAAGCTACCAAATGATTAAAACACTTCACCTTGGTTCATGACACCAAGAAAATTGCCACATATAGGATGGATTTTCTCTCCATTCCAAGCTCCTCACAAGCTAAACCTAGGTGGGTTATGATCACCAAAGGATTCTACACCTTTTTCATGTTGAAACTATCTTGATTTAGTGGCTAAATGAAAAGTTACAAATCCAAGCTTTACAACCATGGTGGGTCAACCTTGAAAGAAGAAAGCAATGAAGATGGAGCTGCAAATGTGTTCTCCAAGTGTGTTAAACACACTTAATAAAGTTAAGCCACCATTTTTGACTTTTTTGTTAAGTTAGAAAATGTCTAATCCACAAATTACCAATTTAACCTTGTCTTAAATCCTTAATAATCCAAGACTTAGTCATATTTTTATAATTCCAACTTCACCAATGTCAACAAATAATGTTACACTAAATTATTTTCTAGTTCCGGGGCAATTTTTTTAAAATTACCATTTTGCCCCTATACTTAAACTATTTGCATTTTCGCTTAAAATGACTTTAATTCTTCTAATTAAATCTCACATTTAATATAGGGGAGGTTATATTTATAAAATTTGTGTTTACAATCTCTTACAAACTACACTAAGGGTGTGCATGACAATCATTCTATTCCCTAGCACTATTTTTGAAAAGAAACAATTCTTTACTATTTCTGTGCCTTGGAACAGTTTCTGAGAAAAAAGTGTGTTTGATAACACGTTCTATTTTTATTCCGAGAATGAGAATTGTGTTTGATAACACAACAAATAATATAATAAAAAATAATTCATATTAGATATAAAAAAATTTCGGATCATCATTTTCCTTTTCATATGGTGTGGTTGTGGTGGTGGTGACGGCGACAGTACGGTAGTGATAGTGGCAGTGACGTGGTGAAGATAATGGTGGTGGTTGTGATGGCAGTGGCTGCAACGATGGCGGTGGTAATGGTGGCGGCGACAGTGGTAGTGGTGGGGGTGGTGGTGGTGGAGGTGATGGCAATGATTTTGACAATGGTGGTTGGTGGCGACAACAATGGTAGCAGTGGCATGGTGGTGACGGTTGTGAAGGCATCATGGTGGTGGTGATGGTGGTGGCAGTGGTTGCGGCGGTAGGTGACGGTGGCAGCAGTGGTGGGGGTGGTGTAATGGTGGCAATGATAGTGCTTGTGATGGTAATGGCTGTGACGATGATGGTAGTAGTTGGTGGCGGCAGCGGTGACGATGACGGTGGTGGTGATGGTAGTGGCTGTGACAATGATAGTGGTGGTTGGTGACAGTGGTGGTGATGGTAGTAGTGGCGTCGTGGTGGTGGTAGCGATGGCGATGAGGGTTGTGGCAGTGGCGTGTGATGGCGATGATGGTGGTGACAGCAGTGGTTGCGATGACGATGGTGGTGGTTGATAGCGATAGTGGTGATAGTGGTGGTGACGGTGACAGTGATAATGGTGGTGGTGACGGTGGCATGGTGGTAGTGATGGGTGGAGGTGGTGGTAATGGTGGCGATAGCATCGTGGTGGTAAGGGGTGGTGACGATGGCACTTGTGGTACGATGGCGATGGCGACGATGGTGGCGGCAGTCATGTTCGGGATGATGGTGGTGGTAGTGGTGGTGATGATGGTAGAGGTGGAGAGTGATTTGAGAGAGATACGTGTTTCTCATTTTGTGCCCGGGAACAAAAAAACAGAAATTTTTTTATTCTTTTTTCTGTTCCCCAGCACAAAAATTAAACCGGTTCATCCCAGGAACAAAAAAATAAACCGGTTTTACCAAACGAGTTTCCTATCCATTTCTGTTCTTGGAAACAGAAATTAAAAAAGAATTGATTCTGGGAAGGTTGTCATGCACACCCTAAGTATGATCGGTCATACTTCAATCAAGAGTGTATAACTGGTCATACTTAGTGTAATTTGTAAAAAAGTTTGTAAATAGATCATTCCCCTTTAATTTATCCTTCTAATCCATGATTAATTCTCTTATTCAAGTCATAATTCCATAATTCACAAATTAAGGTTATTATAATTTCCATATAATACAATGTATTATGCTTTGCTAGTCTAGCATAATTAATTTTTTACCCCATTTAATTCCATTTTACTATTGGCGAAGACTGCGCTGGGGTACAATGTTGCTGGTGTGGTGGTAAGAGTAAGAAGTCAAGCGAAGAAATTTAAGGTTGGTGGTGAAGCTTATTGCAACACCTCGTTTTACAACCGGTTTGTTAACGTTGTATATGATATTAAGTGCAGTTACAATCATAGTAATTGAATTAAATACGAATAAATTTTTCATTTATTTATTTTCTATTTTTTTTTAAAATCATTACTTCTGTATCCACATAACTCAAATACTTGATTATAACTCATACCATATGCGGAACATCTTTTGTAAGCATAATATCCTCAACCAAGTAGCCCTTATAAGCAACATGGTGTAAAACTCCTTATTTTCCTAAGCCCGAAACATGTGGTGTTCCTCTGGGTCATTCCACGCTGGAGTCGTTCCCACTCTGGGGTCATTCCTACTCCGAGGTCGGAACATTCTTGACAGCCAGAGAAACAGAGTTTTTGGCAGCCTCAGTTCCACACTAAACTGGGAACGTTCCGCTACCCAGAAAATCCTGAAATTTGGATATACGAAACTAGACTTCTGAGACTTTAAAATCTTATAATATGCCCCGTTTGGTTAAGAATTGAGTAAGATATGGATGATCTAAGTCGACTATACCTAAAAAAATTCAAATGGACGACACTTGGCTGTATTTAAACATGTTGGGATACCTCCCCATCTCATATGACACTTGATTGACAATTTAACATATATCATGCTATTCTTAACCACTTCAAGGCCTTACATCTAAGATCCATCCAGGACAATCTCATTACATATATCATTGTCTCATTGGCTGGTTCATCAAGCATCATAGTCTAATACATGAGTATTCATCTTGGTGAAAAATAAAATTACATAATCATCACATACTCGAAGTATTAGCTTATATGATTCATGTTAATTGTTCTCTACACAATATACAACATCAAATCATGTAAGATACATATAGCCATTAACAAGGCCTCAAAATACATCTTTTTCATAAGAGTTCCCAAAATATTGTTTTTACATTTACATCTATACATCAAAAGTAAACACAAATCATGTTATCCATGCATCATGCTATATGTGGCTTCTTGCCCTGGGATACTCCCTCATCATCAGTGGTAGTACCTGAAATGTATTCCCCGAAACGTGGGGTGATATATAAATCTCAGTAAACTAAGGGTCCTTGAAGGATCCATCCACCCTATAGTTCACTTACAGTGCATACATAATATCTGAGGATAAATAAACATCATCATATCATAACTGCTGGAATTCCGAAGAAAGGTTTACTACGTTTCTTAGGTATCTGACCACATGGAGATTCCGAAGGCTGTGTCCATGGAAAATTCCTACCGTTCTGTTATCATATGTACATAAGACTTTTGCTACGCCTTATGATCTGGTATGGTCCTTTCATGAAACTTTTGCTACGTTTCATTGGAATCAAACCCCAAAGACTTTTGCTACGTCTAAGGAAAGTCCATACAATGTAATCCTTTCAATAGACTTTTGCTATGTCTATTAGGCTTCAACCACATGAACTTTTGCTACGTTCCCACTCAAGGAACAACTTGTTCGAAAAATTAGATTCTACATCTAATTAATCTCTTTTAATCTTGGGAAAATTCTTAATTACTCATTATAGTGGTTTAGGTTATTATATTTATGATGATATCAATGAGTGTGCTACGAACCATCCAAAAATCATTAGTTCTTTGGCAGAGTATGTTGTTGCTGAAGAAAAAGTATTGGCACATAAACCCTCCAATTTGATGTGTATGCGACAAAATTATCTTATACAACATGAGATACATATTTCCTAAAAATTAAAACTTTAAAAAATATACGTACAAGTTCTCTATTAGTTTTTTAATGTACATCTGCATGACTAGTAGTGCAATAAACAATCAAACCTTACAAATGAAAATACTGAAGAGGACCACCAATATTAGTTTTTTTTTACAATATAGTGAATGAAATCTTAACACATAAAAATACATTATAAAAATAATATAATCAAGTTCTAGTGGGGTTAGTAATACCATGTTAAAAATGGTGTAGTGGGTAACATGAAAGGTACTCAAAGATTAAGATATCCTTTTATCTGGCTGCTATCTTTAGTGTTTTAAATAAGTAATGTTAAATAAGCATTTTTAAGTGTTCTTAGAGCAATAGTTTTTTTATTGAAAAAATATTTCTTCTACACTTATTTCAACCTGTAAACGAGTCTATAAATCTGCCATTAATTATTCACTCCATCTTCATCACCCCTGCTGAGCCACTCAGTTGAACATTAATTGATAAAGCCCTGTTTCATTTTTCTCTCTTTCAAAGACTCCTTCATTCACCACACAACAAATCTCATATTGCAGCTAAAGCTTCAAGCACTAATCCTATGATTCCAACTCACACAAAAGCATGGTTCTACTCTGAACATGGGAGGCCAGCTGAAGTTCTGAAATTAGATCCTAATTGGCCTTTACCCCAACTCAAAGATGACCAAGTGCTCATTAAGGTTGTTGCTGCATCCCTTAATCCCGTAGATTACAAAAGGATGCTCGCTTTGTTCAAAGACACTGACCCCCATCTTCCTGTATGTACAACTTCTTTTAATTCCCTCGTTAATTAGTTTATGAGATTAATATTTTTGAGATAATTTTATTTCTTAACATACGTTTTACGCAAGCGTGTGGGGTTCATATTTTTTTTCTCTCTCTTCTTCACATTGCCCCACATAGACCCCACAAATTTTATGTGTGTAGAATATAATCTCCTACAATATAAGAAATATTAAACCCTTTGTTTATATACATATATGGTTCCAAGTTGCTTGTTTGACACTTGTATGAGTTCTTATTTTATTTTATTTTAATATCCAGACTAATCCAATTCGAACACTATTTGATCCATATTGAGGATGGTTTTTCTTAACACCGTTTTGTTTATGGGATAATAGGCTTTCATATTATAGGAATTTGAAGTTTTCCTGCAATTTATGTATTCCGGAGAATACATAGTTATAATATTAAAGTTTTTTTTTTATATCCCTTATAATTATGTATTCTGAGAAATACATAGTTATAATATTAAAAATAACTTTTTTCTTATGTTATAACTATGTACTACTTACGATACATAGTTTGCAGAAAAATTTCAAATTTCTGCAACATTACCTCTGTTTATTCCTATTAATTGAACTCAAGACATATGATGGTAAACAATTCCTCCTAACTTGACCCATGGGCATTGGCTTTTATTCTTTATTTTTTGTTTTAAACATTACATGCACACCGTGTACACCAGTAGAGGGGAATCAGAGAAAAGAGTGAAAAAATTGTTTGGTTGTATCCTTTCCATTGTTTTAGTTGCCTGATTTTGGAGGGTTTACCGTTATTAACTTGTTATTCATCATTTAGACCTCATTTTCCGCCATTTATTCCTTTTGACCATTGTAATAAGAAAATGAAAAATTACAGTGTAAACCATAGTTATCATTATCGTACAATACACGATACGATACGATTCACAAGTGCAGTGATACATATTGTGTGATGTATCAGAAATAGGTTTGTATCATACGATACATATCGTGTATCACAAAAAAAAAAAATTATTAATAATAAGAAAAAGAAAATTGAAGATTTAATTTGTAATTTAAACTCAAAATTCAATCTGAAAAATTAGTATTGATAAAGGAAATAATTAAATGAATATTTTAATATATATTTTTAAATTGATTTTTATTATGCTTTTTGTATCTTGCGATTTGATACGATTCGCGATACACAATACAAAAAATAGCCAAATGATACACGATAAGTAATATATTCAACAACTTTGGTGTAAACCTTCATCTACTTCTCTTTTATTTTCTTTTGAGTTCGAACTACAAATACGCTGAGTTGAGGCTATATCCTACGTAAAATGAAGTTGAAAAAAAAAACACTCTTTGCATATCGATGCATAAATATTATTTTCTCTTATTCATCTTTTATTCATATTATAGTAATATTTTTTTTTTTTTTTTTGATAACATTATAGTAATATTTTAAGAGATAGGATCTATTTACAAATTTTTTTGCAAATTACACTAAGTACGAACGGTCGTACACTGCATGATTAAAGTATGACAGGTCGTACTTAGTGTAGTTTGTAAAAGTTTGTAAATAAAAAAGCTTGTAAATATAACCTGCCACATATTTTAATATATTATCTAGAGTCAACAGTCCTTTCCTAACTAATTTATTATCTTGATAGAGTCTCGTATGTTACCTGATAACTAATACAATATTTTTTTTTTTTTTGATAACAATACAATATTTTAAAGTTGTGACACTTATACTTTTGTTGGGACCTAAGAAACTAAGAAAGGGAAGGATATTTTGGCTCCGGTGTAAGAACGTAAAAGTCTTATTTTTTTATCTTAATTGTTGATTTTCGTTCATCTAATGATTATAATTTATTAAGTTATATCAATTATTTATTTATTAATTTCAAATAAATAATAATTATTAGATGAACGAAAATTAATTGCTAATACAGAGAGTAAGACTTTTAAATTTTACACAAATCAAAATATGCCTAGCCCGCTAACAAATTATACTATTTGTTATAGACTGGGTGGGGAATTAAAATTGTAAGCATTTTTTTATAGGGGAAATCATTTTTTTATGTTGCTGGAGAAGAAAATCTCTTTTGCAAAACAAATAACTATGTATTATGGGTAATATATAATTATAATATTAAAGTTATTTTTTTCTCTTTCCTCGTATATTATCATATGACGTGGTGAAGAAAGAAAAATATTTTTACCATTATAACCTTTAGAACATAGGCATTTTTTATTTTATTTTTGCAGAAGATAATTCTGGGAAAATGGAACCTTTTTTATACAGGAGCTAACTTTATTCTTTTGTTTTCAATTGTTTGTGGGTGGGGTGAGAAGATTGTTCCCGGTTTTGATGTTGCTGGGGTAGTGCTCAAAGTGGGATGTCAAGTGAAGAAATTTAAGGTTGGGGATGAAGTATATGGTGATATCAACGAGCAAGGCTTATCCAACCTAAAGATTCTTGGCACTTTGTCAGAGTATACTATTTCAGAAGAGAGACTATTGTCTCATAAGCCACCGAATCTAAGCTTCATTGAAGCTGCTAGCCTTCCTTTGGCAATTGAGACTGCTTACGAAGGCCTTGAGCGATCTGAGTTTTCTGCTGGCAAATCTATCCTTGTTTTGGGAGGAGCTGGTGGAGTTGGTAACTATGTCGTTCAGGTATATATACGAACTTGCATCTTATATACATATCTAGAAGTTTTATGTTTATTGATCCAACTGTATTCAATGGCTCGCGTAACTAATAAATTAGAGTCGTTAGATATAAATTAAATCAATAATAAAGATTGAGAGTATAACGTGAAAATAGGCTCAGTTGGGTTGAGCTTTGTCTTAAAGAGGTCGGCATGTATAAAATAATTTAGGTCTGACCTGGTCTATTAGTCTTATATAGGCCTAGATTATAAGTCTGGTCTGACCTATATTTAAAAAAAAAAAATATTGACTTAGACCTATTAGTTTGTTTAAGCCTATTAGATATTCAATAATTAAAAAAAATATTATTTTATTATTCAAAATTGCTAAAATAATAATTTATTTATTTTATTTAAAATATAATATAATATAGGTCGATTTATAGGCTTATAGATCCGGCATGTAAAATAAATCATATGCCCTACTTTCTAAATAGGTTTTTTTTGAGATCCGAGCCAATTATATTTGACTATATGTAATAGGCCGAGCTGTAGGCCCCTGTTAGGCCGGCTGACCCATTTACACTCCCACCTATAACAGGGGTGTAAATAGGTTAGCCTTGACCAGGCTTTGGCTTAAAATTAGGCAGGCTTCTATAAAATATTTTAAGCCTCACTTGTTTTAATTTGTTAGTTTGGTGTAGGCCTAATTATAAGTCTGACATTATTTATATTCAAAAAATAAAATATCTGATTAAGCCTGTTAGCCTGATTAAGTCTATCATGACTTTAAGAATTAAAAACAATTAAAAAAATAATTTATTATTCAAAATTATGTAAATAATAATTTATTTAAAATAAAAAATATGATATAGACTAAACTATAGATTTATAAGCCAAACCTTATAAAAGAGAGCGTATGACTTGCTTTGTAAATAGGATTTTTTTAAGGTTTGAGTCTATTTTATTTTACAAGATATAATAGGTTAAATCTGGCCTGATATAAACCAGGCTGTAGGCCCCTTATAGGTCGTCTAATCCATTTATATCATTACCCATATATATAAACTTACATCGGTATAAAAATAATTTCACTCTTGATCTTAATTATTGTTTTATTTGCATCCAATTGTTGACATATCTATAATTAGAGTGTAGTATATAAATAAGATCAATGAGTGTAAACTCCACCAATATAAAATGATCTACCCCCTATATATACAAGGAAAATATCAATTTATATCGGTGTAAGTGAATCTTTCTCCTCTATGAACCGTTGATTCTTCTTTGTTCTCGTCTCAAACAAATTAGAATTGTTGGATACATGTAGAATGAATGTTTAATAAAGGGTATAAAAGATTTTATACTTATACTCGTGTTAAGTTGATCCCTATGTGTAATTTGTAAAGGAGAACTAATAACTATTATGTCTGTGTTTGGGTGCAGCTTGCTAAGCATGTTTTTGGCGCATCTAAGATAGCAGCAACTTCTAGCACTGGGAAACTTGAATTTTTAAGGAAGTTGGGAGTTGACATGCCTATTGATTATACAAAGGAGAACTTTGAGGACCTCCCAGAAAAGTTTGATGTAGTGTATGATGCAGTAGGTTAGATCTCTGAACAAAAGTATATAACACATGAAAAATGGCCATTATATTATATTGTTTCTAAAACAGGGAAGGTTATATTTACAAACATTTTGTTTACAAACTATACTAAGTATGACTGGTCATACTTCAATCAAGAGTGTATGACCGGTCATACTTAGTGTAATTTGTAAAAAAAAAATTATAAACGGATCATTTCCTTTCTAAAACACTAATTCTGTAATTTCAAAAACAGGGCAACCTGAAAGGGCGTTGAAAGCTATCAAAGAAGGTGGCAAAGCTGTGACAATAGTACCTCCTGGACTTCCACCAGCTATTGTGTTTGTGCTCACTTCTAAAGGTTCTATCTTAGAGAAGTTAAGACCTTACTTTGAGAGTGGTCAGTTGAAGCCAATGCTTGATCCCAAGACTCCAATCCCATTTTCTCAGGTTATTGAAGCTTATTCCTACTTGGAAACCTCGAGAGTCACAGGAAAAGTGGTCGTTTATCCCATCCCCTGACCATACTATTCAACTGGTATAATTCCTAATAAACATATATAACTAGGTGTGTGTGTGTGTGCGTGTGTTAGTTAATTGAGGCTTGTGTCAAACCAAGTCCTTTAGTACTATGCTTCATGTTTGTCTATATATACATATATATAGCTGGTGCCTTGCTGCTGAAGAATAAAGATTGGTTATAGAAGTATATATATGAAATCCATGGTCTTGTGTAAGTACCCTTGGATGCTGTTGAAATCAAGTTGAAACAAGGCATCCCAAGAATTTTTATAGTACTTTACATTTGGTATCTATATGTGGACTTTGCTTAGTACTACTACTACTACTACCTTATATATATAAAATATATATCACAACGTGGCTTTCAATTACATCCAAAAATCCCCCATGCAAAACTTGTAATTAAGCAACAAGCAAGTCCCAAATTAAATTTATTCTAGCAGTGTTACATGTTCAAATCAAATGTACATACATCTTATGTTGCACCGACACTGACACCGACACGGGACACGGGACACGACACGACACGACACGACACTCCGACACGTTAATTCTAAAAATTGTTAAATTTCGACACGTTAAGACACGTTTTGATATTATATAATATTTTTAATTTATGTAGTGTATATTATATTTAGTATTCAATAATTTAACAAAAAAATAAAGCTAAACTTATAATACCCATCAATTTTGCAAAGAAACATGAGATATCCCAAATGTTTATATTAAACTGAATAAAATCGTAATCGTACTCTAACGAATCTAATAGTTGAAACTCAAAATGCAACACAACATAACTTTTGAACCTTTCTTGAGTCTTTGCAATGAGTATTCAAATGTCGGAAAGTGTCGGTGAGTGTCGGGAAGTGTCGAACACGACATGTCAGAATTTTTGAAATGTCAGTGCTTCCAAATTTATTCCATGTAGGTAGTAATAGCGCATTTTCTCATCTCATCCTCCTTCAATTTTCTCTTCTTCATCTTATTTTATTTCGTTACCCTTTTATTTTATTTCAATTCTTTTGGGGACGGCGCTTCACATTATTAATTAATTAATATCCAATAGGAAGCTGCTTCTGTTCCTTTTGACGTGTATTGAATAGCAAGTTCAGCAACAATGGAGCTTTTCTTCAATTGCATATTTAAATACATTTCTTGCTTTATAAGAGCTTCATGTATGGCTGTCCACCACTCCATCATATATTTGTTGGAAAGTGTTATTAAATCTTATTACATATAGATTTTAACCAACTAATCCGTAAACAAGATAAATAAATATAATGCGTTGATTATGAAAGATACTTATTGATCATATGGTTTACGTTACTATATATATATTGAACTCATTCATACATAACATACATATACCTCTTTTCTATTTGGTGCTATACATCATTCACTATTACTTTTTATAGGAATTAATGCATCTTATAAATTGATAGTACTCATTGATACCCTGATGTGGATGAGCTTTAGATCTGGTTTATTGGCCCTTTTCATTCAAGTACTACATAAGGAATCCAAGCACCAGCAATTGTAATCGGATTTTGAGATTTCCAGCATTTGTGTGGGGGTCATTTTCTCAAGCTCACTTTGCCTCCATGAAGCAAAACTATTCCTGTTTTGTGGGTCAGATTTCAAAGGGTAATACTCTATTTTGTGTTCTTGAGATCTCATTCTGTTGTAGAGCCTCATTGTTGCTACACAATCATCATAAGGATCCTGTATCCCAATTTGAATGTCATACCTGCATATAAATGCAGTTATGCATATAAAAACAGAAGCTCTTCATTATTTTCACAACACAGAGAAGGGAAGGGTTATATTTACAAATTTTTTGTTTACAAACTGCATTATGAGCCTGTTTGGATCTTCTCTTTTTTAAGCTAGAAGCTACTTATGAGCTGAGCCTGTTTGGATTCTCTTATTTTTAAGCTAGAAACTACTTATAAGCTAAAGCTAAAAAAAAAAAACTTAAAAAAAGAAGCTAAAAGCTGTTTGGAAATTACATAAAAGTTTTAGCTTAAAAATTACTTTAAAGCACATATTTCGAGAAAATTATCTCTCTCTCTATCTTTATCACTCTTCATTTAAAAAAAACACACAATTCAAGAAAAACAGATAAGAGCTTAAAAAAAAGGAGGAGGAGCTTTTAGTTTTCAGTTTATTTCTTCATTATAAAAAAAGAACTTTTCGTTATAAGAGCTTTTCTCAAAACCTGTTTAGCCTAGCTTATGCTTATAAGTAACTTCTAACATAAAAAAAAAAAAAAAAAAGATCCAAACAGGCACTAAAGCTAGCTAAAAAAAGAGCTTAAAAAAAAGTTGAAAGCTGTTTGGTAATCACATAAAAAATTTAGCTTAAAACTTACTTAAAAACACGTATTTCAAGAAAATTATCTCTCTCTCTATTTTTATAACTCTTCATTATAAAAAAAAAAAAAAAAAACACACAATCCAATAAAAAGAGATACGAGCTTAAAAAAAAGCTCATTTATGAGTTTTTAGTTTTCAGCTTTTTTCTTCATTATAAAAAAAAAAAACTTTTCGTTATAAGAGTTTTTCTCAAAACCTGTTTGGCCTAACTTATGCTTATAAGTTAGCTTCTAACTTAAAAAAAAAAGATCCAAACAAGTACTATGTACTCCTGGAAGTACACTATGTTACATTTTGTACTTCCAGTAGTACATAATATAATTTATAAAAAAAAATTGTAAACGGATCCTTCCCCTTTGAAGAATTCACATCTGAAATATCCTCATTAGTTTTCCTTGTCAAATATACTTGCCCAAGATACGCTTGTGTTAAGTACTTGAGTGCGTTGCTCAACTTGCTTGTCTTCATCAATGGAGGGTATTTTGCAGTGTCCCTGTTTGCATATATATATTTGTTCAATTATATGCTTTAAAATTAGTCAGCAATTTGAATATGGGCAGGGACGTCATAGGCAAGGCATTCTATTTGAGAATGGATCCTCTCATGTGGAAAAGTGATTATGTGATTATGTTATTTAATCACAATCGTTTATTGATGATGAGATAAGAAAGAGAAAAATATATAATTTTTAAATAAATCGTCGTGATTAAATAACATGACCACATGACCATTTTTTTCACACGAGAGAATTCACTCCCATTCTATTTCCTTAAAGTAACAAAGCATATGCCTTATATGACAGATTATTTTATATGAGATGCACGATAGAGTGTAGAATATATGGTGGAGAAAGACACCTTATAATTTTATAAAATTTGTTGATTCCTACAAATTAAAGTAATGGTGGAGCTTTGCATAATAAAATTTATATTTTTCTCTCTCATTACAAGATTCTCTCCCATTAATAAGGAAAAGGAGAAAATCTGAATCCTATAATGCATATTAATTAGACCATTTCTCTTCTATTTAAAATGGAGAAGTTTGGAAGAAAGGAAAGGAGGGAATTTTTCTTTTTAAAAAATCATTCTTCTTATATAAGATTTTCTTAAATGATAGAAACTATGATCATGAGACATTGTACTAAATTACTAATCTCTTATTCATTTTTATAAACATTTTATAATTCTCTCAGTAATAATAAAAAAAATTAAAAAAAAAATCACCCCTTCCTTTACATATTCCCCTACAAAGACCTTCATTCTAAAGTACATATAGTAAATATTGAATTGAATATATTACCTAATTTTTTCTGCTCTATATTCTATCTGCAAGCATTCCAAGTCATGATCTAAACCATGACCCACAAGAATCCTGGCATTTCCACCTCTTGGTCGAATTGTCCACACAGGTTCTCCATTGCATAGGAAATCTTGAATCCTCCTCTGCACTTGCCTTGTTGGCATTGCATCCCTCAAGTATTCTGGTCTAATACCTGTCATCTCAAACCTGTTAATCAATCAGCAGCCTTCAACTCAACAAATTTATAAAAATCACTCCTCGTTAGACCTCGACTAGCGAGTGTGAGCTGAAAACAATTCTTATATACAATCTTACTCATATATATATATATATAAAGACTATTTTTTGGATTCGAACCCGCGACCTTTCAGTCAACGAATATATGTTCCAAAAAATATATATATGAGACCTTTAATGTTAGTTTACTAACCTATAGTTTGTGACTGGAATTGGTGGGTTCACATAAGAATGGAAAATGATGTTTTCATGCTCATCAATTATGCATACTCTTGCACAAAGATCCATTGAGCCATCACTGCCACCACCAACCATTTTACAAGCAAGTGCAACTACTTGTTGCCCCCTTCCACCAATAATCAAATTATCAATAATGGTCAAGTTTGAAAAGCGCGCATTTAGTTCCTAGAACAAAATATTGTACAACAAAAAAAAAAATGTTAAGGCCCAATTGTGTGTATAAAAATGGGGAATGAATACTCTCACGTGACATGAAGTCATCTGAGAGGATCTCAACCATCAGATTCAAATGAAAAGTGATCATTTTCTTACCCTTTATCTTAATATATTCTTTCATCATTATTGATCTGTATTTGGACAACTGAAATTATCTCACATAATTTTATGTCACATGAGACTATTCATTCCCTGCAAATTAATTCAACAATAGCCAAGTAAGAAATTGATACAGCATTTATTCCAGAGACTCTGCATCTTTCTTGGTGGAACGTGCTTGAGTTTTGGTTATCAAGGACTTTAAAGCAAAACTTGCATCCTCGGTTGGCAAAAATATCTCTGCATTCCTGTTTTGGTAGTGGACCTGGAAAAGCAGATTAAATGTCATAACAAGCTATATTTTGAAAACAAAGTCTTTGTAGTTAATTTGCTTAAAAATTCATGAAGTGGTTACCACTTACCAAGAAGATGTTCCCTTAGAGACTCAAAGGACCTGCAGTGTTTCCCACAAATGCCACATGATGGTTCATGATCAGAATGACATGAGATCCTCATGTGCTCCACAAGGTGCTCCATTTTGTTGAACTGTCTAAAGCATGCTGCACACTTATTCCTAATGTGATATATAAATACTAGCTAGTTAATTAGTCCTTATATTTATGCATTGTTATATATGAAATTTTGGTTCGACTTAATGTTTCTAGTTAAGTGGAACTGTGGTATATATATATATATATATATATATATATGCATGTTTGTGTATGATATAGTAAGAAAGAGAACCTGTGAGTTTCTGCGTGCTCAGTTCTGCTGTCCATGATTCTTAAAACTGATCTATATAACTATTCTGAAAGACTTAGAAGACTAATTAAAGGGAATTGAGGTCAAAAGCAGGATGAGATGGTACTTAAATACTAGCAGCAGAGGGAACAATCACCGAATCCAAGTTGCAAACAAGGTTGATTCTTGAAGGCATTACACAGTACCTTTGGGCATATGAAAGCATGCAAGTTGCAGCTATAAAAAAATATAAAATGCATTTTTAGCGGTTCATATTAATTTATTTTAGGAAAAAGTGTGTATCCTTTCAAAGGATATAAAATTATATTATTTTAAAATAGAAAGAGATAAATTATATGAAGAGAGAGAGTGAGATTTTTTTTCTCTCTACTCCCATTATCTATCTCTTCCTCTCTCTTAAAACAATCATGTTTTAAAAAAATACACATTTTTCTCTTTAATTTATAATAAAAAAATTCTTCCAATATATTTATTTTTAAAAAGTTTATACTGTAGTAAAATTGACTTTTGCAATGTCGCCGACTTGATTTAGAAGCCTTCTTAATACTTTTATTTGTTTGTTTCTTACCTTTTTCCTTTTGGTTTTCCATCATCAATTTTATATTAATGAATAGTATTACTTCCGTAAAATATATTTTTTCATATAGCTACCGTAGTTGAATATTATTTTTTTATACTTTGCGGGGCAATGCATATTTTTTGGGTTGTAAGTGCTAGAGTATTCAAGTGTGATAAGTCCTATATTGGTTGATAATGGGCTAAGTTAAATGTATATAAGTGGAATAACCCATGAACTCAATGCCTTAAGATTTTGGGTTGAGATGCGGTGTCGGATCCACTTGCTACAGTTGGTGTAGCTTAGCCCATTTGTGGTGTCCCCTGCCACGGGCTCCACCCTGGACCCGCCTGAAAGTGGTATCAGAGCCGAGTTGTACTCGAGCTAGCCTGGTGATCTGCTAGGAGGCAGATTGAGTACTTGGGCCCTGAGGTACTCGGTTGAAGGAAAGCATATCAATGTGGGTTTCCCACTTGAGTGGGAGTGGGTTTCCCACTTGAGTGGGAGATTGTTGGAGTATTCAAGTGTGATGAGTCTCACATTGGTTGGTAATGGGCTAAATTAAATGTATATAAGTGGAAGGATCCATGAACCCAATGCCTTAAGGTTTTGGGTTGAGATGTGATGTCGGATCCATTTGCTACGCGGTTGGTTGTAGCTTAGTCCATTGGTGGTGTCCCCTGCCATGGGCTTCCCTTGGACCCCCCTGACAGTGGTATCAGAGCCGGGTTGGGCTCGGACTAGCCAGGGGATTTGTCTAGGAGGCGGGATGAGTACTTGGTCCCTGGGGTACTCGGTTGAAGAGGAGCATATCAATGTTGGGTTGTAAAGAATCAATTCAACCCAAAATCTTAAGCTGTTGGGTGAGGCTACATTAATGATTTTATATATCTCAACACGCCCCCTCACACGAGAGCCCACTGGGCTTAAAGTGTGGACAATGCACAGGCCCACCTACCTGGGCGAAGAAAGAAATTTCACTAGAAAGAAAGTGGGGGCGGTGAGGATCGAACCCGGTACACCGAAGCTCTGATACCATGTAAAGAACCAATTCAACCCAAACGCTTCACTTGATATGGTATCAGAGCCGGGTTAGGCTCAGACTAGCCAGGTGCTTGGCTAGGAGGCGGGGTGAGTACTTGGGCCCTGGGGTACTCGGTTGAAGAGGAGCATATCAATGTTGGGTTTCACACTTGAGGGAGAGATTGTTAGAGTATTCAAGTGTGATGAGTCTCACATTGGTTGGTAATGGGCTAAGTGAAACAAATATAAGTGGATGGACCCATTAACCCAATGCCTTAAGATTTTGGGTTGTAAAGAATCAATTTAACCCAAAAACTTAAGTTGTTGGGTGAGGCTACATTAATGATTTTATATATCTCAACACACCCCCTCACACGAGAGCCCACTGGGCTTAAAGGGTGGACAATGCACAGGCCCACCTATCTGTGCGAAGAAAGAAATTCCACCAGAAAGAAAGTGGGGGCGGTGAGGATCGAACCCGGTACACCGAGGCTCTGATATCATGTAAAGAATCAATTCAACCTAAAAGCTTCCCCTGATAGTGGTATCAGAGCCGGGTTACGCTCGGACTAGCCATGTGCTTGGCTAGGAGGCGGGTAGAGTACTTGGGCCCTAGGGTACTCGGTTGAAGAGGAGCATATCAATGTTGGATTTCATACTTAAGGGGGAGATTGTTAGAGTATTCAAGTGTGATGAGTCTCACATTGATTGATAATGGCCTAAGTGAAATAAATATAAGTGGAAGGACCCATTAACCCAATGCCTTAAGGTTTTGGGTTGAGACGTGGTGTCAGACTCACTTGATATGACAGGTTTAACTTAGCTCATTGGTGGTGGTCCCCCATCACGGGCTTCCCCTAAACCTGCCTGATAGTGGTATCAGAGCCGGGTTGTTCTTGGGCTAGCCAGATATTTGGCTAGGAGGTGGGTTGGGTACTTGGGCCCTGGGGTACTCGGTTGAGGCGAAACATATCAATGGTGGGTTTCAGACTTGAGGGAGAGATTGTTAGGATATTCAAGTGTGATGAGTCCCACATTGATTGGTAATTGGCTAAGTCAAGTGTATATAAGTGGGAGGACCCAAGAACCCAATGCCTTAAGGTTTTGAGTTGAGAAATGGTGTCAGACTCACTTGATATGGTAGTCTAGATTACTCATTGGTGGTGGTTCCCTGTTGACACATTCACCTGCAATGTCAAGCTGACATATTCACCTGCCATGTCAAACTGACACATTTAAACACAGATTTAGTCTTTTAAAACCAAAGTTTGGCCCGACTCGCAGCTATTTACACCCATACTCCTTATAATAAAATATACTCGGCATTTACCACCACATAGCTCATTTTTCTTAAACTTATGTCAATTTATTCCTGCGAATAATTAAGAACTCCTCCTTTCAACAACCAAAGATCAATTTCAAGATCTTAGCCCTGATGAATAAAACAGATCTATATTTGATAATTAATTATATCATTCATTTAGTTTATTTAAAAAAAAAACTCAATTAGATTTTTAATTATGAGCTAAATAAATGGATACTTAATATTAGCCCAGCTAAATATAGTGAAAACTACCAAATAGTAGTAGCTTAGTTGGCGCATAAGAGCTGAGCATGTGGGGGTGAGAGCATGTGTTCGATCCTCCCCAATACCATATTTGGAAGAGATTTAAAGTCTTAATCCTAAATCCACCCTGAATCAGACTAGTCGCGAAGCGATGACCGATTGAAATATTTCCAAAAAAATATAATAAAAACTTATGAGGACATCAGACCGACTCGCTTTATATAAATAATTATGTTCGGTATAAAAAAAGTACAACGAAAGCATATCGACACTATTAAAGTAACTCTAAGATTATGGTTCCCGAATCTCATATTGTAGGTCAATTTTCTTATTTAGATTATGTTTCTTGAGAATCCAATGTGATAAATGTTAAGTAATAATTTGTAATATATATATATATATATATATATATATATATATATATATATATATATATATATATATATATATATATATAGGAAAGAGATCATTTGACTTCAGAGTAAGACTTATAAGTCTTACTCCTTATCTCAGACCTTAATTTCCAGTTATAGTTTAGAAAGTCATATTAATTAATTAATTATTAATTACATTACAAATGACAACTGTTGATTTTCGTCCATCAACGGCTAAGATGAGGAGTAAGACTTAACAGTCTTACTCTTAAGTCAAAAGAACTATCTCCATATATATATGTGTGTGTGGGGGTGGGGTGGGCGGCGGGATCTTCTTGCATCGATGTAAGAATAATAAAATTTACACTCAAATTAATCATTGATTTTCGTATATCTGACAGTTGTAATTTATTGAGAATTAATAATTAATTAATTATAATAGCTCAATTAATTACAGTCGTCTGATTGACAAAAATCAAGGATTAAGATTGAGTGTAAGATTTATTATTCTTACACCGATGTAAATTGATCATGTCCCTAATTATATATAGGACAGAATCAATTTTCACCGATGTAAATTGAACATATTCCTATATATATATATATATATATATATATATATATATATATATATATTAAGGGATATATTATATCTATAATTTTTTTCTTACAATTATTTTATTATCGTTATATCAAAATTAAATTAAATTAATGATTTTTATTTAATATTATTTTGTAATTATGTATTTAATTTTGATTTAACAACAAAGAAAAAGATGCTGTAATTGTAAATATAAACTTCGTCCCTCGTATTTTAATATTTGAAATCTGTGAATAATGCCACTAGCTAGAATTTTATGGCTTGTCTAACCCAGATGCGTCTTCGATTTGACTCATAAAGCATTGTGACTTTGGTAATTGTCAATTAATATAGCATAGATTCATATATACCTTCCTCTAATTAAGTTCTGGCGTTGGGCTAACCGCATCTTGCACTAGCAGCACAATGAAGACAGACTAGAAAGTGCGTTAAAAAGTCACACCATGCCACTTTGGGGCTCGCATAAGATGTTAATTTCGAACTTGTCTCGCACTCTGAATTAATCCAATAATCATTGTAAAGAATCGAAGTTTGTGGAAATATCCGAAAGAGCTACTCGTTGTTGCGATTTCTGCAAGTACATCGGTCGTACAAGTAAAAAAGTGATAAAAAAAGTTGTCGTTCTCACGAGGACCGATGACCAAGCAATAATTTATCTATTTAACTAAAGTTGAATTCGTGAAAGGAGTTTCTTCATAATATTGTAATTAAATTAAAAACAGATCTTTTAAACTTATTTTTAGTTTTCAATAATTTAGAAAATAAATTCAGAATTAATAAAGCTAGAAATTTGTTTTAAGTTTTTAATAAAAAAACGTAACTAGGACTCGACTTTCCCAATGGTTTCTTAACGAATCTACCTATTTTTATGATTATATTCAAGATCAAGTTATTAA